TGAAATTTCGAAATTTTAACATTAAAATCTGGAGGGATTTCTGCCAAAATCCACTGGGTTTCTAGATTTTCTCCTGAGTCTCTGGGATCATGGCCGTTGAGCAGCTTGATCAGGAGCCAGAGAGGCCCTTTGTGGGCAATGTCTTGGGGTCTCGTTGGGACAGGGAGACCAGGCCCGGCTCCATCCCCATCCCGTGAGGCCCAACAAGTTTCGTCACTGCGGGCCCAAGCCTGACTGTCCAATGGCCTCTGGAGGATGACGGCCACTGAGCCGCCAGGGGGAAACAGGCGGAGGGACAGCACCCTTTCCCCCCTGGGGTGGCCCGGCGACAGTAACCTACTGCGGGGTCCGGACACATTTCTGCCAAAAGCCACTGGGTTTTGAGATTTGTTTCTGAGTCTCTGGGATCATGGTCGTTAAGCAGCTTGATCAGGAGTCAGAGAGGCCGTTCATGGGTAATGACTTGGGGTCTCGTTGAGGTGGGGACAGGACTGGCTCCACCCCCATCCCATGTGGCCCTGCGTGTCTCGTCACTGGGGGCCCAACCTGACTATCCAGTGGCCTCTGAAGGATGGCGGTCACTGGGCTGCCAGGGGGGAACAGGCCAAGGAATGAAACCTTTCCAACCTGGGTTGGCCCAGCACCGGTAACCTACTGCAGGGACCGGACACATTTCTGCCAAAAGCCACTGGGTTTTGAAATTTGTTTCTGAGTCTCTGGGATCATGGCCATTAAGCAGTTCAATCAGGAACCAGAGAGGACATGCCTCCAGTTACATAGCTGAGCCGGAGGTGGTTTGTGGGTGTGTCTCCCACATACCTAACTTTTGGCCGTTTACTTTCTTGGTAAACTTTGCCCCAAGTTTTTGGGGTCTGGCTAAAGGCACAGCAGCAATTTTGAGGTATCTGGAAGTCTGAAGGCGCCATCAGGCTGCTGATGCACTCACCTCACAGGTATAGATTGACCTGCTGGCGGCATCATACCCCCCAAAAATCCTTTTAATGCATCAATTTAATGCTCAAGGCTTACTTCTGGCTCTGTGCTCTGGGATCACTTCTGGTGTGCTCGGGGGACCATATGGGATGCCAGGGATCAAACCTGTGTTGGCCAGATGCAAGGCAAACACCCTCCCTGTGTACTACTGCTCTGCCCCCACAATGCATCGATTTTAAATTCAACGAGCTTTAGTGGCTTGTGATCACCACCACAAACAGTTCCCCTTCTCAGAAAGCTAGTGGTGTTGACAACTTCCTATCCCAGTTCCCTCAACCCCAAGCAACCCTGGTCTGCTTCTTGGCCCTATAGACTAAGGACCCTAATCTAATTCATAAATTAGACTTATGCACTTTTTATGTTCTGCATCTATTCCCCCAGCGCCCCCCCCCCGATTTATTATTTTTTTATTTCAATTTTCCATGGAACCACACATTTCAGCAGGAAATTCTTTTTATTGCTGAATGCATTTCATTGTATGACCATACAGTTTCATTTGGTCGACATTTCGGTCATCTCTGGTTTCACACATCGAGGCTATTATTTGCACAGACACAGAGTTCTTATTCTCACAGGGCAAAACTGGACTGAAACTGCGAGAGCACATGGCACATGTGTCTTGCTCCATTAGAAATGGTCAACTGTGTTTGCGAGGTGGCCATAATGGGGCCCTAAAGGATGGGTCCACAAGCGTGAACCCTCTCCCCCCCAAATCTAGGGCCACAGTGTGATTTGAAAGAAGATTTTGCAGACAGAATGAAGGAGCTCCAGGATTTACAGTGGTTCTCTACCTCCAATGACAGATACTTAGAGAGAAAGATAGGAGAGGTGTTAGGGGGGCTGGCAAGGAGAGATAATTATTACTGACTGATGCTTCTTCAAAGCAAACTGGTGATCAAAAAAAAACCCATCTTTTTTAATATTCGGCTATACAGAAACATCTTGTTCCCTTCTCGGGCAGCTGACACTTATATACATAAGGTCGGTCAATGGCAAAATGACTAATACGAAGACCCATTCTAATATGCTGCGCTCAAGAGTAGCCACTTATCCTCACCATCAATATTAACAGCCACAGAGTAGGAGCACTGTGCTCCTGTTCTCTGTGCCTTCTTCCTTGGGGCTGCCTAAGTTTGAAGAAGCAGACACCATCTTTTTTTTTTTTCTCTCTTGCTTAGTTCCAGGAACAGAGGTAGACACAGTTTCATCTTTGCCCATCTTTGTTCATGGAGCTAATGCATGCAGAGAAGGAATTTGCATGGAGGCTGATTGACTTCAAAGTCCTCCTACAGAACAGATAAACTCTCTTTTGGAGGGGTAGGGAGTGGCACCTCCAAAAACTGCCAGAAGGACAGAGACAATGGCTGCGTGGCATGTGACCTTCCAGCACCAGTGTCTGGGCCTGAATAATACCTTCTTATGGATCAGGTTCAAATGAACAGCGTGTTCCCACAGATGCTTACAGGTGGCCATTTCCCTCCACTCAGAATTACAACTTCAGGGAACAGGGGGATAGCACAGTGGGTAAGGTGCTTGCTTCCCACACAGGCCCAAGCTGGGTTCGTTCCCTGGCATCCCATATGGCCCCTGAGTTGCCAGGAGTGATCCCTGAGCACAGAGCCAGGAGTCATCCCTAAGTACCACTGGGTTTGACCCCTCACCAAAGAAAAAGGAATTGCAGCTTCATAACTTGGATATTTGCTTGGCTTTGCAAGTGTTCTTTATAATGGAAAAGAGGGCGAATGGAGTCCTAATTAGAATGCATTGTGTTATTTTTTCTTTTTCCTTTTTGGATCACACCTGGTAACACTCAGGAATTACTCCTGGTGGTGCTCAGGGGACCATATGGGATGCCGGGGATTGAATCTGGATTGGCTGCATGCTAAGCAAATACCCTCTCTGCTGTACTATTGCTCCAGCCCAGGATGCATTTTAAAAGAATTATAAGGGTCAGGGAGATAGTACAGCAGGATAGGGGGGCAAGCCGGGTCGGATCCTCAGCACCCCATATGATGTCCCAAGCACTGCCAGGAGTAATTCCTGAGCACAGAGCCAGGAGGAACCTTGGAGCATCAGTGGCTCCAAAACAAAAACAAACAAAAATATAAGTGCTTAAAAAGAGACAGAAAGGCAGAGGGGGCATGAGGCACAGAGATGCAGGTGCAGGAAGGACAGAGGCAGACCCACTGGATGGCAGCGCCACCGGGTAAGGGAAGCTGCTGGGCAGGGAAAGAGCCTCTCCAAAGCTTGGGGACAGTCAGGGCAGCAGGCACCCACTGGGCTCCAGCTTCCTGGTCTCCAGAGTAACATGAGAATACAGTTCTGTTCTTCTCAGTCCAAGAGACCGAGTCCAGGGGGCTGGAGCGATAGCACAGTTGGTAGGGCATTTGCCTTGCATGCGGCTGACGTAGGTTCAATTCCCAGCATCCCATATGGTCTCCCAAGCACCGCCAGGAGTAATTCCTTAGTGCAGAGCCAGGAGTAACCCTGTGCATTGCCGGTGTCACCCAAAAAGAAAAAAAAAAGACAAAGTCCAACGGTGGCACCATTTTCCACCATGGAACTTTTGGCCTAGGCTGATAAGGGCATGGGTGTGGGCATGAGGAATAAAGAGCTAAAGGTGACATGCGGGCCTCCTGCTCAGAGGACAATGCCTGCTCTGCTGCCACATTCTTCGGTTGGTTCTGTCATCCAGGGTATTTTCTACTCAAGACCTTTTTTATTTGGTTGGGGGGCAGTCCCGGCGATGCTCAGGGCTGACTCCTGGTTCTGTGCTCAGGATCATTCCAGGCAGTGCTCAGGGGATCCTATGTGGTGTCAGAAATTGAATGATGCCAGGGGAGCCTGTCTCCTCAGCCCCAACTACTGCAGAACTTCATGGTATGGGGTCAGAACTGCGAGAGGGAGGAGCGGAGAGAGGAAGGAGAAGAGAGACGGGAAGGAGAGGAGAAAATCTCATTTCCTGCCCAACACTCAGGAAGCTTCTCTGAGCTTCTTGACTGGCCAAGCCCACACCCCACATTGAAAAACCCCAAATGACAGATGCTCCTGCTCTGCCCCCTGGGGTGGCTACAGGAGTCCCTCCCCCCACCCCTACACTGCCTGGCAGATGGGATGTAAGAATTCTCTGCAGAGGAAAATCAGGGGCACAAAGGGGCAGCCTGTCTCGTAGGAAGAGGCTGTGTGGTCCGTGTGCCCCAAGGGCAGCTCCAAACCGGGTGTGTCTCTGCAGAGCAACTGAGCTCCCCCCGCGCCTGGGTCTCAGGAGCAAAAGGTAAAGTGAGCAAGACTAGGAATGGCAGCAAAATCGCTCTTGTCTCAGCGCCTGCCACTGGAAGTCTGTGTCACACAGCCCCACAGATGCAGCGTTATGTAATCCTGCGCGCCAAAGGGCTGGTTCCTCGCCATCGCAAAGTCCTGCCCAGGATTGAAGGCAGCGGAGAGCGAAGTGGCTGATGACGCCTGCGTCCCGCTGTGCCTGAAGGCCCCTCTCTGCTCACATCGCCAAGTCTGGGCGACTCTCAAGCCTACGTGTGGCCCTCAGGAGCTGGGTTGCCTTTTGGTCCCAGCCATGATAATACACAGACGCTGAGGCAGAGGGACATCAGTGACCCTGTCCACAGTACCCCAGCCGACAGCCAGGAGGTTCCCACCCAGCCTCAAACTCCCAGAGCGGACAGACGTCCCCAGTGCAGTGGGACCGGGTGTGTTTATTCTGGCGTTGATAGCAGCAGCAATGGGGGGACCGGCCAGACGCAGGGTGTGGTAGACAGAGGGGGAGACACAGGTCTCTGAGGGACACGGGGGCTTGGGACATTGACAATCACAGCAGGGACGAGAACAAGGCTTAGGACACCACGTCTAGGACAAACACCAGACAGATAGACAGACAGGATTTGGGGCCAGGCGTCCCCCAGACATGCACAGCGCCTCGTCTGGAAGGGGAGATAGTCACAGGGGAGCCCAAATGCCCCCCACCCTGAACGGGAGCTGGGCCCGCGGCCTCCCACCCTCCCGCCGCCAGGGCAGAGGGACGCAGGCCCAGCGTGGCCCGCACCACATGGCACGGACACTATGGCTTCAAGATGAATTCACTGTCCGCGCAGGAAGGCCGAGGTCCCGGGGGCCGGCTGAATCCCAGCCTGGGCCAGACCTGCAGGGGCAGGCAGGGATCGGCATCAGTGACAGCAGAAGACAGCCTGGGTCCTGCTAGAGCCCCATTGCCAGCCCAGCACCCAGGGGCCCATCTCCATGCCCTTCACCCTCAGACCTGAAAGCCCCATCTCTTCACCCTCCATCCTCAGACCCGGAAGCCCATCTCCATGCCCTCCGCCGGCAGACCTGGGAGCATGTCTCCATGGCCTCTGCCCTCAGACCCGGAAGCCTAGCTCCAGGCCCACTCCCTCAGACCCAGAGGTCCATCCCCAGCCCTCCTCCTTCAGACCTGGGAATCCATCCCTAGCCCTCACCCCTCAGACCTGGTCATTCCATCCCCAGTCTTCTGCCCTCAGATGCGGGGATCCATCCCCAGCCCTCCTCCCTCAGACCCAAGTTCCCAGTGCTCCCATCCTGGGTCCCCAGACCCCCTTACCCTCACTCAGAGTTCTCTTTCTCTGACAATCCTTTGCTTCCTTTGGTGAAGCTGCTCAAAGTCTTTTCCTGGAGGAGGCAAAAACAGAACACTCAGTGTGGGCCAGAGGCGACACAGCAGGAGTGCTACCCAGAGACTAAATGAAAGACTCTTTTTTTTTTCCGGGGGGGGGGGTTGGGGGGTGGGCACACCCAGCAATGCTCAGGTGTTTCTCAAAGCTCTGTGCTCAAAACTCACTCCTGGCAGTGTTTGGAGGACTATAAGGAATGTTAGGGATCAATCTGGAGCCATCTGCATGCCAGGCAAGTGCCCTCCCCACGGTCCCATAGATGTGGCCCCTACTCTTCTTACTTGGTTTTACCTATGTTTTGGGGCCACACCCAGCAGTACTCAGGCCTTACTCTTGCCTCTGCAATCAGGAATCACTCCTAGAGGACTCAGGGGACTATATGTGGTGCCAGGGACCAAACCTGGGTCAGTCACATGCAAGGCAAGTGCCCTCCCTGCTGTCATACTGCTCAGTCCCCTGCAGAATTCAAATCTGGGCTCAGCGCTAAGTCACTTCAATCTCTCCCTGAAGTCTGGCTAAAAAGTGCCCAAAGAGTACAGACCAGAGTTACCTGGGTCCCCCAGTGGAAGGTGTGCCTAATTCGACAACCAAGATCAATCTCTTGGAACGCAATATTTTCAGGTCACCAGAGTGAATGCAGGCAAATCATCCTACATCTCATTAAAAGCCCATTCTGTAACAAATGAGAGCCCAAAACAAAGGAAAAACTTGCGTCCATGTGCTTTTGATGGGCCAACTGTTCCAGAATGCAAAAATAATTGAAAGATTTTCAAAGAAATTGAAGAGTAAGCATATTAAAGTTACATTAGCTTTAAGTGTTTTATTTATACTCAGAACAAAATTTCTTATGCTTCCTATCCTTGGCTTTCCTAAAGCAAAACCATCATGAAGAGTTTTGAAATCTATCCTTGTTTTCAAATGAGAGGCTTGCATCCAAAATTTCTCTGGACAGGACCTGAGAGGTAGGACAGCGGGGAGGTCATGTGCTTGAACATAGCTGACCCAGGTTCAATCCCTGATGTCCCAGATGGTCCCTGAAGTACACACTGTGATCCCTGTATGCAGAGCCAGGAGTAAGTCCTGACGACTGCCAGGTGTGAACCCTAAACAAACAAAATTCTCTGGAGTCAGAGATTCAGAAAATTTCTCTTAAAACATTTTTGGAGGGTGCTAAGGCAATAGTACAGCAGGGAGGGTGTTTGCCTTGCACATGATCAACCCAGGTTCGATTCCTGGCATCCCTTATGGAACCCCAAGCACAGCAAGGAGTAATTCCTAAGCGTCACTGGTGTGACCCAAAAAGAAAAAAAAAGAACAACAACAACAAAGAGGGAAACACAGTCGTCTCTCAGCATCCTTGTGATATTTTATTCTTTTTTCTTATGTTTTAATATAAAATAAAAATTTTGGCTGGCCAGGGGCCCCATATTTTGTCACTGCCTGCTTTTCCTTTACCTCTCAGCTCTGTCCTTTTTTTTTTTTTTTTTTTTTTTTTTTGCTTTTTGGGTCACACCCGGCAATGCACGGGGTCACTACTCCTGGCTCATGCACTCAGGAATTATTCCTGGTGGTGCTCAGGGGACCATATGGGATGCTGGGAATCGATCCCGGGTTTGGCCGCGTGCAAGGCAAACGCCCTACCTTCTGTGCTATTGCTCCAGCCCCCCCCCGCCCCTTTTTGTTTTGAGGCTACACCAGGCTGTGCTCAGGGCAAACTGGATCTGCGCTCCTGATTCTGTGCTCAGAGATCACTCCTAGAAGTGCTCGGAAGACAGGAAGAAGTGGAGGGAACTGAGGTGCACACTCACCTCTACCAGCTGATGCCAGTGCTCCACGGGCTTACGAGGATTGGCCAGCATCTCGGCCCAGTGCTCGCGGCCGTGGGGGTCGGCAGCTTCCGGGCCCACACGGCACACACCAATCACCTCATTATGTCCAATGCTAGAGTTCGGGAGAGAGGCCCATGAGCACCTGGGGAGGGGGCAACAGGATGCCCCGCCTCACCCATATCCAGTTCTCCCCTTCCTGCACACCACATTCCACCAATGCCAGTCCAGATACTTTCCCTGGACCCACCCACACCATGCCCCTTCCCCTCCTCCCCCCAATGCTCGTCCTGATACGGCCCCTGACCCGCCCACACCACGCCCCCTTTCCCGCCAATGCCCGTCCTGATAGGGCCAGACCAGACCACGCCCCTTTGCCCTCGCCAATGCCCGTCCTGATAGGCCCCGACCCGCCCACCCCACGCCCCCTTACCAATCGTAGTCTACCACTGCGATGCTGAGCCCCACGTTCTCTACGCTTTCAGGGGCCACGTCGAACACCAGTGCCTCGTTGTACGTGGGGTTCAGCGTGTTCTTCTTGATGGAGGTTTTCCGCTTCTTCAGACGCCGCCCCTCGCTGATCAGAGAGGCTTTCACGTAGGGGTCTGGGGGAGCACGGTGAGCACGTCCACCTACAGTCTCCTCGCAAGGGTGGGGGTCCCCAGCCTTTACCCCCTCCTCTCAGGCACAGGAGTCCAGACTTCAGACTCTTGCTCCCGGACACTTCCAAGGAGGAAGCCCAGACTTTCCCTCCCTCAGTCTCCTGGGCCCCAGCCATCCCCCTCAGACCCCTGGAACCTGAGAAGCCCGTGAGGTCCATCGCTTTGAGATTAGACGCCTTAATGATGGTCACAGTCAGGCGCCCGGCAGTAGGCAGGTAGCAGAGCGAGAAGTTGAGCTCCCCAAGGTCTGCCTTTTCCTGCAGATGGGGAGGGGTGTTCAAAGGTGCCCCGACTCGGGGGTCCCCTGAACTCCTTTTCATGCCTCCCGCCAGCAGAGGCTCAGGGGGTCCACCCTCTTCTCAGTCTGACACCCCCAAGAATGACCACTAATCCTACAGGGGAGACGAGGGGGGTCAGTGAGAACAAAGATCCTCCACTGAGAAACTCAGCTCCAAATTCTGAACCCCAAGTTCTAAAAGCCCACGGACACCAAACAAACACACCCAGAAAGAGTGCGGCTAGGGTCCAAGCTAGAGAAAGGAAAATGCAAGACCCGAATGGTGGAGGAATGGAGACCTTGGTGAGGAGTGAGAGAGTAATAGCCAGGTTCCAGGAGGGTCCCCTGGGATATCACGGGGTTGGGGTCCCTGGGCAAGGGCACTCTGGGATTAGGCACTGATTCTGGTAGGCTGGGGTTGGGGGTCCAAGAGAGCAAGGAGACGGGGGCACCTCATGAAGGGGGCCTTAAGAAGAGCCCTGGGCACCCAGAATGTTTATCTTACGGTAGGTATGGGGAAACCGAGGCAGAGAGATGGGAAGGAATATGAACCCCACAGATTGGCACTGAGAGTGCTGAGGTCAGGGGTTAGCGAGCTAGGGAGCGCCAGATGCCCAGTAAGGATGGAGACGTGGGTGGAGAGGGTTGGGACTTCAGAGGAAAAAGAATCTGGTGGGGTAAGGGAAAGGGTTTGAGGGGTGCCAGCCCCACAATCTGAATGCAGGGGAGTTGAAGAATGTCAGGATATTGGGGATCCCACTGAGTCTGCAGCAGGGGTGCCTCAGGCAGTGACAATGGGGTGGAGAACAGAAGGACTGGGGGGATACACCTGGCTCAGGGGTTACATCTGGCTCTGCACTCAGAAATTACCTCTGGCAGTGCCCAGGGGTCCATATGGGATGCCAGGGATTGAACCCGGGTCAGCAGTGTGCGAGGCAAGCACCCTCCCAGATCCAGCCCCAGAGAGCAGGAAGACTTGATTGGAGTTAGCAGTTCAGGGCTTGGCAAAGGGAGGGACTGGGGGGATGGAGGCTCAGGTGCTGAGGTCAAAGGGTGAGTCAGTCAGAAGAGAAAAAGAAGGAATGGTGGTATCAGAAAGGTGGAGGGTCGAATCTGGGGTCAGAGGGCATGAGTCCAGGGTTGGGGGTCCAGCCCTGTCAAGGGTGGGGTGGGTGTCAAAGTTGGGCCAGGCACAAGGTTGGATGGCACCCATGGGGGATATGGGCTTTGCTTTCCCCTTATCCCCTCTTCTTTGCCGTATTTCAACCACAGGGCCACTGACCGAGCCTCCCTCCATAATGTCTCTCCACAGTGGGCGGTCGGGGGGCTGCTCGGCCAGCTCCAGGAGGTTGTCCAGGACCACCTGGCCGATGAGGTCGTGCCGGGAGAAACGGTCAAAGTCGTAGACACTGAAGTGCAGCTTACGCTGTGCCAACTCGGCCAGGGGCACCGGGAACTGAAAGGTCTCATTGAACACGGGGTTCAGAGTCTTCCTGTGCACCTGCAGAAAGAAGGAACACGGACATCCTATCTACAGGCCGCCAGCCCCATGATCTCAGACCCTGTGGGGCAGGACAGGGTGAGGCAGATCAGAAGTGACCTAAGGACAGCAGAGGGAGGGTCCCGGGAATGGAGCAGCCACCTCAGACATCAAGACCACAAACATGAACACTATTGCAATCCTGTGACCTAAACTACACTGAAATGAAAATAAAGAATCAAACCCTAACTGCTTCTTCCCTCAGATCCCCCAGCCTCCTCCCTCAGACCCAAGGGTCCAGGCCCCCAGCCTCCTCCCTCCGACGCAGGGATCCTGGCCCCCAACTCGCCCTCTTAGACCCAGAGTCCCGTCCCAGCCCCGGAGGGATGCCCACCTTGGTCTGGAACTTCTTCTTGCGGTCAGGCAGCAGGTAGATCTTGACGTAGGGGTCGGAGAAGCCGTTGGAGTCCTTGGCCGGGAGGTCCAGGGCCTGCAGAATCCGGACCACCAGCTGGTCCGAGCCGTACAGGTAGCGCAGAGCGAAGCTGATGCGGCCACAGGGTGCCCCCGTGCCTGCCTCCCCAGGGCGCCGGCCCGTGCCCTGGTATAGCTCTGGCTGGATCTGTCCAATCAGTTTGGCTTTCTCCTCCCCGCCCACGGCCACGGGTACTGGCAGGGCAGGCGGGCGCTCCTCCGGGCCTGAGTCGGGCTGGGAGGTGAGGGTCTGCTGGGTGAGGGGCCGCGGCAGGCCTGAGTACCTGGGGGTGCAGGCAGGGCTGGGTGAGAAACCCCGGCCCCACCCCTGGCACTGCCCAGCTCTCCCCAGACCCCAACTTTACTTCTGCTGATTGACCTTGAGCAACTTGCACCCTTGGGGCAGTGCCCGCTCTGGGGTGCCATCCCCTCTCCCCTGACACCTAGCCCAGGCCCCCTGAGCCCTCTGCCCTGCTCCAACCCCCCTCAGTCTCTTCCCTCCTGACCCCATACCCCTCTCCGTCCTTCCCTTCTGACTCAGTCTCCCATTGTCCCCAGCCTGTGGAACACTCCAGAAGCCCAAAGCCCCCGCCTCCTCTGCTCCTCCTCCCTCCCCCATGCTTTCCTGGACCTCCCCGAGTTTCCAGAGCTTCCCACAGGCTAGTGCCTGCGTTCACCTTTTGAGCCCAGCCTAGATCAGCCCCAGGCTCACCAGCCACCAGGTCCCCCTAAACCCACCCCATCTACCCTGACCCCTCAGACCTGCGTCTCGAGTTTCTCATCACCACATCCTCACTTGCCTACCCACTCAGGAAGCAGCCCTGGGAAGGGGCTGCCTAGCAGGGGGGAGGGGAATCCCTCAGTGGACCACCCTGCTCCCCGGATGACTTTGAGCAGGCCATTCATACCACGAGCCTCAGTTTCTTTATCTGTATAATGGAAGAGGAGGGACTAAGACTCCATGTAGCAACTGCCTCTAGGTATGGCCTCCCCAGGCCTCAGTCTACGTTTCCTATGAGGCCCTGGGCTCCGGCTGAGAACTACCTCTTCCATGAACCTCTGGGTGCTGAGAATCTGACGTTCCCCCCTGCAGGCTGCCCGCCCTCAGACCCACACAGTCACTACCCCCTTTCCTCCCCAAACCCAGAGAAGCTTGGTCTCCCTCTAGCCCACTCCTGCTCCTCGGTCCACTGACAACCTCCACACCCAGTCGTACCCCATCCCCATGCCCCCTCCTCGGCCTCTGGCCTCAGCTCAGTCTCATCCTGTCGGCCGTGTGGACTCTCCAAGTCTTCCGCACTCAGCTCCTCCTGGCTCCCAGGGTCCCCAAGCCAGGTGCCCACCCCTCCCCCACACAGACACACAATGCACAGCACCACTCCCTCCTGGGTACCCCAGCTCACCCCTAGGTCTTTCCTGGCTACCTCATCTGTGCTGTGCTGGTCGCAGGGAGATCCCACCACCTGCAGGTCCCAGCTCTGCCTATAGGGGCTTCAGCGACACCTCCAGGGCTCCTGGCCTGGCTGGTCTGGGACAACCGGTGTGGCCCCTGCACAGGCCAGTCTCTGCCATACTCACCTCTGTCTTTCCGGCTGAGACAGAGGCTAACCAGGGAGATGCCAAGCCCCCCCTCCATTAATCTGGCAAAACGGGGTCCTCAGTGCTCAAGCCTCATTCTCCTGCACCTTCCGACCCCACAGTCCAGCCCCCTCCCGCCTCTGGATCTCTGTCCCAGGGACCCCCCACAACGAACCCTCCTTTCCCCAGGCTCAGGACTTCAGGGCCCCACTCCGCTCCTCCCCAGGGAACTCAGAGAGTCGCAGATGGGAAAGAGAGACCAGACACCCTGGTCAGAACGCCTCTGCCCCTCCTCGGCGCCAGGCCAGCTCACCTGCTGCTGGGTGCCAGGCTGGTGACCTGCTGATGGGACTGGGCGCTGGGCAAGCCACCACCGCTAGGGGGCAGCAGGAGCAGCCCGGACCCTCCTGTGGCCTCAGAGGGCAGCTCCGGGGAGGTCTGGCTGGGCTTGACCCCGACCACGGCTGCAGCCGCTGCGGCCTCTGGGTATGTGTCCATGTCCAAATAGGAGGGCTCCGGGGGATCGGCGCCCCCGAGGCCGCCAGGCTCCAGCAGCTCTGCGAAGGGCGGGTGGTGGGCAGTGTGTGCATGGTGGTGGGGACCCAGCAGCGGATGGCCGCCCAGGCCGGCCCCCAAGTGGTGTCCACTGCCACCGACCAGACCTGCCAGCCCCACCCCCGGCGCCAGGTCCTTGCGAAGGCCCACAGCCGAGCCGCCTTTGTCCCGCCACGGCACCCAGCACAGCTTCCAGGACACGAAGAGGGAGACTCCCAGCAGGACAATGCCGCAGAAGGTGACGATCACCGACAGCAGACTCACGGAGATGTCTGTGGAGAGCGAGGCCAGAGGCAGGGGTCAGGGGTCAGAGCGGTCATATCGTCTCCCAGTCTGCCTCCACTCACCATGTTTGTTGGCATTTTGCGGGGGGAGGGGGTCACCACTGGTGATGCTCAGGGCTTACTCCTGACTCTGTGCTGCATTTAGGAATTACCGCTGGCGGTGCTCAGGGGAACATATGGGGTGCCAAGGATCAAACCAGGTTGGCTGCGTGCAAGGCAGGCACCCTCCCCACTGCACTTCCTCTCGGGCCCCATCTGCCAGCATATTCTGAAGCCCTGACATTGAATCCATTGCAGCTCCCCTAGCCCCTACTGCAAGCATCTCTAGGTGATATTTGTGCTGGGGGCAGTGTACCTCCCAGTGGACCCTACTCACAATTTCCACCAGTTGGCTGATTGTTCAGTGCAAGGGCCCGAAGATGAAATGTTCTTGGGCCCTGCAGGACTTGGGGGGATCACCGTGGCCCCATGGCCATGCTCGGCCAACCACAAGGTGCAAGGGATCAAACCCAGGTCAGGCATGGATTAGCACAAGCCTCACTGCCATGCTAGCTCCTGGCAAGGACATGGAGGCAGTGACACCCATGCTGTGGATGCCGGGGTTCAAATTTCAGCTTGCTGTGTGTTCTTGGCCAACCCGAGTTCGATTCCTCCACCCCTCTCGGAAAGCCTGGCAAGCTACTGAGAGTATCTTGCCCACACGGCAAAGCCTGGCAAGCTACCCGTGACGTATTCAATATGCCAAACACAGTAACAATTGTCACAATGGAGACGTTACTGGGCCCGTTCGAGCAAATCAATAAACAACGCGAGGACAGTGACAGTGACAGTGTGTTCTTGGGAACATAGCTTAACCATTCTGAGCAAAAGTCCACCTTACTTGTGCAGTGTTTCTCAAAAGTGAGTGATGCCACCCCAGGCTGGGCAGGGAATGATTGCCAAGGGGACAGCAGCAGCCCTGGTGCACCTGGAGACATTTTCTACTTGTTGGTTTAAAGAAGGGAGAATTTAGGGTCTGGGGAAAAAAGTATAGTGGGTGGGGGCCTTGCCTTGCATGCACCCTCCCAGGTTTGATCCCCGGCATCCCATAGGTCCCCTGAGCACTGCCAAAATACTCATATGTTTTGTGTTCTTGTCTGCGAGACTGGTGTGTCCAGAGCACAGAGCCAGGTGTAACCCCTGAGAGCTGCTGGATGTGACTCAAAAAAAAAAAAGCATCAGGTGTTGGGGCTGGAACAATAGCACAGCGGGTAGGGCGTTTGCCTTGCACGCAGCCGACCCAGGTTCGATTCCCAGCATCCCATATGGTTCCCTGAGGACCTCCAGGAGTAATTCCTGAGTGCAGAGCCAATTCCTGAGTGCAGAGCCAGGAGTAACCCCTGTGCATTGCCGGGTGTGACCCAAAAAGCAAAAAAAAAAAATCAGGTGTTGATGCTTTTTGTGTTCCTGTCCGTGAGACAGGGGTGCGCAGGAGCACACTGCACCTCACAGGCTATGCGAGCGGTCAGCCCCACCGCCCTCTGGGTGTTCACCCTGACTGCTGGCCCCCAACATCCTATACCCCCCCTGGATCCAGCAGGACTTGGCTATGTGAATATGTGGATGCCCCAGAGCCCCATCCTGCATGGCATCCCCCATCCGGCAGCACGTGCAAGTATTCCTGGCCTCTCACAACACCCTCCTGCCTCCTGGCTAGGTGATTTCACTCTCAGGGCCTCAGCTTCTCCCCACGGAAGATGGAAACCCTCGGAACACTGACTGGTACACAGGCGGCGCTTCATAGTTGCACCCAGCATTTTCTAATGACTGCGGTGGGTCAGCTTATTCCGATGAATAAGATGTCACATGAAAGGCTGGAGCAATAGCACAGTGGGGAGGGAGCTTGTCTGACATGTGGCCAACCTGGGTTTGATCCCCAGCACCCCATAAGGTCCCCAGTGCACCGTCAGGAGTGATTCCTGAGTACAGAGCCAGGAGTAACCCCTGTGTACCACCCAAAACCAAACATAGATGTCACCTGAGTCTATCAGTTGCCCCAGGATTTCATCATGTTCATTATCCCCATTACCTTGATGGGGAAACTGATGCACAGAAAAGCCACCTGCCTGAACCCACCCAGGGAGTGGAGGAGGGTAGACTCCAACCTGGACATGCATCCGGCAGTAATAGGAGCCCCCTGAAGGTCAGGGGCCCCAGGGTGGTGGTGGAGAGGATGGAACAGGTGGGGGCAGGAGGGCTGACCTGCGTCTGGGCCCCGGGGATAGCCACGGATTCGCAGGTTCTCGAACTCCTGGCACCTGTCACCCGTATCCGCGTCACGGACCCGCGCGCAGAGCTCCGAGACCAGGATGAGGGCCCGCCGGCAGAGGTCATCCTCATAGTCCCCTGACATGGTGGCCACCTCCTGCGCAGACAACAGGTGAGAAGGGAAACCAAGGACAGGCAGGCCGCTTGCAGACAGAGCGAGAGACCATGGGGCTGATGTGAAGGGCAAGGATGCAGCAATCGGGGTTCGGGGGCAAGACGGGTGAGAGACTGAGTTGGGAATGGCGAGAAGAGACGATGGTCTGGGCCCCCGAGACAGGCATGTATGCGTGCGGGCACCCACAGGGACAGTGGACAAGGAAGAAGGGGCAAGGAAGGCAGCGGAGAGGCAGTCTTGCAGGACACAAGAATAAAGGGATGAGCAGCCAGGAGACACAGGTTCAGGGCGCTCGGAGAAAAGGGGCTGGACAGACATGGACAAGCCGGGCACCGTTCATTCATTCATTCATTCATTCTGCAAGTGTTCACAGAGCACCAGCTGCAGCTCAGGCTGTTAGGATACAGCGGGGGACGAACCCCACACCTTCCCCCAACTTCCTGCTGGCACAATTTTATGAGGGGACTGAGAAACTAACAGACACTCTTAGAGCAGCAAGTGGCTCCAAGGACCCAGAGGTGTGTGTGTGGGGTGTGTGGGGGGGGGAGAGTATGGGGTTGGGAAGATCTAAGACTAGGCGGGGAGCCGCGGACAAAGTGAGCAGGCAGGTGGGGCTGGGGTGGGGAGAAGCCTGCGAGGAACAGGGAGAGCATGAGGGACAGGGCTGGGGTCAACGGAGGAACGGGAAGGGTGCAGGGCGAGGGGCGGAGAGAGGTGCCCATAGGCAGATGAGCCAGGAGCCAAGCTGAGTGGGGGAGGGGCGGGTGGGGAGGTCACAGGAAGGGCGTGGGGGGCCCCAAAGAGAGAATAATGAGCAGACAAGACTGGAGGGACATTCAGGACAGAGACGGAATGGACAGCCATAATGAAAAGGCTGGTGTGCTGGAATGGAGGGGGCAGAGACAGTGGCAAGCAGTGGGCGAGAGTGGACAGGATGTCTTTGAGAAACGTGCCCTGGAGACAAGACGGGGTGTGGAGATAAAAGACAGAGAGGTGAGGGGGAGGGGAGCGTAGATGACAGATGGACAGAAGCATCCTGAGGAAAGCTGAGATGTGGGTCCAGAAGGCTGGCGAGGGGCTGTGAGGCAGCAGGGATGAGGAGGGGACGCGGGGCGGGTGGGGGGGGGGCGCAGGGTGGGCCTGGCCACAATTGGTTTACAGCCACGACCGGAGGCAGGGTGGGGGAAAGGCAGAGGAGGGCTCACGGATGGACAGGTGCTGGGGGAGGGGCGCGGCAGGGGACCAGGACTCCAGATAGTCCTGGGGAGGCTGAAACTCACCTGCGCTTATCCCCGCCTCGTCCTGGATGGCAGCCCAGGTGGCGGCGGTCGGCCGCCCATGGGGGTTGGGGGGCGGACAAGCAAGTGGCTTGGACCCGTCCCCCAGACGCCAGGTAATGAGAGGTGGGAGCTGGATCTGGGGCTGTGGCCAGGAGTAAAAGCTCGGTTTGAGCCTTACATCTTATTTCACTCGGGCCAAATGCTCGACCCCAGGTGACCCCCGAGACGACCAACCACCCCCTCCCACCTCCGGGCTCCCAGCGTCCGGTGTGCTCAGAGACTACAATTCCCGGCAGGCTTCGCAGCCACACTGCTGAAGCTTCAGACGCCCGGTGCTGCAAGGGCTGTTGGGAGTTGAAGTCCTTAATGTCTCTCCGGGCTGCAGAGAGGCTGGGAATTTTTTTTTTTTGAGGGGGTGGGGGTGAAGGCTGAGAAGATGCCGGGGTCCCAAAGCGCTGCAGGGGAGAGGGAGCATGACCGCGCCCTCCGGGGGTCACGGAATCCTAAATTTTTAGGGATCATGGGGTGGAGAAACTATCTCCAAGCCGGGGGGAAGGGTGGGCGAGGACTCGGGCATAGCCAGGTGCTTCGGGACCACCCCCCCTTCCAGGACCACGTGCCCCTCCCCGGGGGCGGACAGCGCGCGCCGCAGCACTCCCACTCCCCGGCCGGAGAGCCGCGCGCCTCTGCACCTACCCGCGCCCCAACGCGCCGGGGCCGCCCCCCAGGATCGGGCCGGGGCGGGGGCCGCGGCCAGGGAGGGGGAGGCGCGGACTCACCCCGAGCGCCGCCGCCGCCGCCGCAGCCGCCCAGAGCGCCCGCCGCGGTGCCCGCGCGGCTCCGCCCCTCGCCCCTGTCGCAGGTCCGCGGCTCCTCCCCCTGCGCCCCCTCCCGACTCCCCCCTCCCCCCCGAACCTGCGGCTGGAGATAAGTCGCGCGGCCGCCGCGAGGCTGGAGGGAGCAGCGGCCGGGCCACCGGCCTCTGGCCACGGGCCACCCCACGCAGCGTGCGCGCAGCCCGGACCCCGAGGTCGGGGGTCCAGCTCCCGTGCGGGACAGAGCACCTGAACCGGCAGCCGGCCCATAAATCTGCGACCCTGCCACCCCTTCCCCCGGGCCCCGGGCCCCGGGCCCTGGAAGTCCAGCCCTCCCGACCCTCCTCCTCGCTAGCGGGACGCAGGAGCGGCGAGCCGCAGCCCCTGCACCCGGGACGCGGGGCGTGGATGCAGTTCCGAGGAACTGAGGGGACGAGGCGGAGCCGCAGAGCCGGCGGTGCTGGAGGCGCAGCAGGGACGCTAGTTCGAAGCCTGAGGGGCCAGCTCCTGGAGCTCCTCCCGCGCTCCAGCTCCGCATCCCCAGCGGAAGCATAGATTCAATAAATTCGTTTCCTAAGGGACCCAGGGGGTTGGAAAAAACCAAAAAAACAAAAGCGCAACAACAAGCAATAGCGATTAAGCATTGGCACCGAGGAAGCGCCTAATGAATATTTATTAAAAGCAAGTAAGGGTTCCCGGGGTATTAATAGCAGTTAACGGTGATTGTCCCCGACTGGGAAGCAGCCCTGGCCTCCATGCTTTGAAAGCAATTTCTCGTTTATTTTTTACTTTGGTCCTGAACCTCGCATGCGCTTATGCTATTTCTATTTCTGAGTCGAGGCCGGCTGAGGAGTCCAAGCTATGGAGTCACGTGAGGGTGCACCAAGTCTCCCAAGGTTCCTTGGTGCTTCCTCCCTCCCTGTCACACCTATATAATAGATCATCCTCCTGAAAAGTTGCTGGCTGGGACTGCAGAGATCTACAGGGGTTAGGGCGCTCCCCTTGCGACCTGAATCCCAGGACCACATACCGTCCCCTGAGGACCGCCAGGAGTCACTCCTGAGCACCACTGCAGCTGAGGCCACCTCTCTCCCCACCTCCACAAATGACTTAAGACCAGACCCACAAACCCTCCCTCTTCTTCTTTTCCCAAAGTTAACAACTAGGGGGATGGAGAGGTTAGGGCACTTGCCTTGCTTGTAGCCCACCCAGACCCCGATTCCCTCCCAGTTTTCCCATATAGTCCCGTAAGCCTGCCAGGAGTGATTCCTGAGTGTAGAACTAGGAGTTACCCCTGAGCGCCACTGGGTGTGGTTCTCCCTCTCCCCCAACAAAAAAAAGTATACAACTTGTGGGTGGGTGGTGTCAGGGGTGGGTGCTAGAAGGATCCAGCAGGACCACCCGGTGATTTCTTCTTTTTATTTATTTTTTTTTTGAAAGGAGGCGCTATACTAAATCAGTTTGGAAACCTCTGCTCCAGATTAACCCCCAATCCTAGGCAAGTCATTTGAACTGATTTTCTTGTAAACACACCAAGTAAATGAATAGGATAGAATACTGTATCAAGAAGATACCGTACAATACTGTCCTCTCTGCTCCCTTTCACTTCCTGAGGATTTTCTTGGTAATACTTTCCTGTTGTTGGTGGTGGCGAGGTGTTGGGGCCACAAGCCCTGGTGCTCCGTGGCTATTCCTGGCTCTGTGCTCAGGAGTGATCCCTGGTGGTGCTCAGAAGGAATGAAGGTGCTTTACCTCCAGCCCAATTTCTTCTTCTGCTGCCTAGTGTAAGAATATTACCCACTTAAACCAAAAAATTAACTCAGGGCTCACAGAAGGTGTCTCAGTCACTCTGGCTAAGGTTTTTGCTAAGGTTCCACAATAGGCTACCAGTAAAGTCTGGGAGGAGTCAGAAGTCACACCTCACCACCTCTGCCCTAGTTCAGGGGCCACCAGTATACATGTTTGTTTGTCAATTTTTTGGGCCACACCTGGTGATGTTCAGGGTTGACTATGCTATCAGGGATCACTCATGGCGATGCTTGATGGACCATATGGGGTGCTGGGGATCGAATCTGGGTTGGCTTAATGCAAGGCAACACCCTCCCCGCTATACTATCTCTCTGGCCCCAGCAGTATAGATTTGCAGTTCTTTTTTTCCCTTTTGTGTGTGTGGGGGGGGTGGGAAGTCACTCAGGTCTTTTTCCTGGTGGTGCTCAGAGCTTTCTCCTGGCTCTGTGCTCAGAGATCGCTACTGGTGGGCTCACTTCTAGGGAGCACTACGAGGTGCCGGAGATGGAATCAGGGTCATCAGGGTAGAAGGCAATTGCCTCACCCCTGACTGTCTCCACCCTTGCAGTCATTGAAATGCTTCTATGTCACTTTGGCTTTCATATTTGTGCTAGAACTTCTCCCAGAGAGATTGACATTTGTTCCCCAGCTGCATTTCTGCAAGTCGTGGGGGGAAGGATCTCCACAGATCTGTGTGCATAGGTCTAAGGAACCCTCCAAATCCACTCTTGCTGTGAGATGCTTGCACCCTCCAGGGCTTGCCCAGGGCCTCCATACAGCCCCCAATGCAGGGAGAGGGGCTGGGAAGCAGGGGTACACAGTTGCTGCGGCGGGCACAGATGGGCTTGCCAGAACACGTTTCCACGGTGATGCTCGGGTTCGAAGATTGTCGGTGCCCAGAAGCATCTGTGGCGCCTTGATCATGGGCCTGACTTTGGGAAAGGTGGGTGGAGCCATGTCTGCAATTTGATCACTCTCATCTGTTATTTAGTTTCCTAATGCCTCAGTTTCCCTGTAAGCAAGGCTACGTTTTTATTGGGGTGGGAGGAAGTGGCCACACCCAGGAATGCTCAGTGACCACTCTCAATCTCAGGGATCACTCCTGGCAGTGCCTGGGAGGCTGAACCCAGCCAGCCATGCACACGGCAGAGGCTTTACCTGCTGCACCATCTCTCCAGCCCCTGTTCTTTGGTTGTTGTTTGCTTGTTTTGTTTTGGTGGTGCTTAGGACTCACTTCTGGCTCTGCACTCAAGGATCACTTCTGGTGCCCGATGGGGTGCTGGGGATTAAAGCCAGATTAGCCATGTGCAAGGCAAACACCCTGCCTGCTATACTATTGTTCCAGCTCTTTTTTTTTTTTTCAATTGGCTTTTTGGCCACACGCAGCGATGCTCAGTGGTTACTCCTCCTAGCTCCACTCAGGAATTACTCCTGGTGGTGCTTAGAATGCCATATGGGATGCCGGGGATAGAATCTGGGTTAGCTGCATGCAAGGCAAAGGTCTTGCCCACTTGTACTATCGCTCCGGCCCCTCCAGCTTCTTTTTTCTCAAGCCCAGGTTCAACCTCTGTTATTTTGAGCAGTGAACGAAGCGTTGGTCATACCTCAGTGATGACATACATTTGCTCCTTCACTCTCCAGCTGCATTCCGTCAGTGAGGAAATTGGGGTTCAGAGGGCAGAAATATCCTGCCCAAGGTCACAAAGCAGGGAAGGATCAGAGTGGGGACGCCAAGACAGGGGGTTCTGTGTCAGCCCCAACACTGTTTGCATGCAGGACCTTGTCTGATACGACCCATAGGTGTTTGGAGAGGTGCAGAATGCTGGTCGGGGAGCCTGGAAGGAGAGTCCCCCCGCGCCTCCACATTCACTCAGCCTTTGCAGTCACTCATAAAATATGTCCTGAGCACCGCAGAGCCCTAAGCTCTGTTCCAGGCATCAGGGACTTGGGGAGGGCTGGTGAGCGAGCGCAGGAGGCAGATCATTATCAGATGCTTGTATCTGAGACAAAATGCTCTCACGGGAAGTTCAGGGTGCTGAGTGTCTCAGAAAGAGGTCATGGGAAGCTTCCCCGAGCACATGATTGGAGCCCAGCTCAGGAGGTGAAGATGGAGGAGGGGAGCAGACAGACTCCTGAGGAAGGAGCATTGTGTGCGCAGAGCCAGGGAGAGGGCTACAGGGAGTGCAGGACAGTGGGGGACCAACGGGCTTCATTCGGGGCCCTGTCCCTGGTCCAGTGGTGCTGAATTCATACTGCTTGGTTGTGAATGAATGAAAACAGAAATGGGAGCCGGAGAGATGGTACTGGGGTTAAGGTGCTTGCTTTGCTCTGCATGAGGCCAACCTAGGTTTGATCCCCGGCACCACATATTGTTCCCTGAGCACTCCCACGAGTGATCCCTGGGCACAGGGCCAGGAGAAAGCCCCGAGAAAATGAAACAGAAGGGTATGGGACCAGAGAGATAGTGCTGGGGTTAAGGCACTTGACCCGGATTTGGCACTATAAAGGGTTTCCTATGCCAGGATTGATCCCTGAGCACAGAACTAGGAGTAGGCCCTGAGTACAACTGGTCCAAGAACAAACAGACAAAAAGAAAAGTGTGCAAAGTGTTACTAAGCAAATGGATTATTGGGGCCAGCGCGATAGTACATCAGGTAGGGCATTTGCCTTGCACGCGGCTGACCCGGGTTCGATCCCCGGCATCCCATATGGTTCTCCCAGCACCGCCAGGAGTAATTCCTGAGTGCAGAGCCAGGAGTAACCTCTAAGCATCACTGGGTAAGCAAAAAAAAGAAATGCGATTGTTGGATGGGGAGATGGACAGTGAATGAATGAGTAGATAGTGGATTTCAGGGTGGTAGATAGATGGTGAATGAGTGGATTGCTGGTGACAGAAGGATGATGGATAGCAGGATGGGGAGATGGATGCTGGGTGGATGGGTGGGGGAATCACTGGATGAATGGTTGAAGGGATGAGCTTGAAGGTTGGATAGATGGGTAGATAGTGGAACAGATGTGTGGTTAATGGATGAGTGGAAAGTGAGATGAATGAGAATATGGGTGGTTGGATAGATGAGCCGAAGGGTGGACAGATACATGAGTGGATGTCGGATGACATTGGGGCCCATGACTGAATCACTGAATTAATGAATTTGTGCAAATACCTACAGATTCACATACAAATGCTCCTGGAGATAGATTCAGATGCTCCACTGGCCATACCCACCCCTAGGTAAACACAGATCTGCCTCTTTTCCTGGGCTTCTGTGGCACAGACCAACACTGAGAAGCAAGAGG